TCAATAGATTCTCCAGCACACCACAGCACCCCTTGCCATTAGGTACATCCAGTCCTGGAGCTGCCAGAACTGCATTCCCCCACATTTCTACTGAAAAAAGCCCTGTTCCCAGAGATGGGGAGGGGGGTAAAAAAAAAGGGTCAGTGATAGGATTACAGGAAAGATCAGTATTAAGGTTATGAGAGGGTTAATACTAGGTTTAGTATTAGGGTTGCAGGGAGTGTTTTTTATAGGGGGCTTAGTGTTCAGGTCAGAGTTAGAGTTTCAGGGAGTGTTGGGGTTACAGAGAGTGGTAATGTTATGGTTACAGAGAAGATTACTATTAGGATTATAGGAGGGTTAGTGTTAGGGTCAATTAGGGTTACAGGGAGTGTTAAAGTTAGGGTTGCAGGGAGAGTTAGTGTTGGGGTTACAGAGAGGGTTAGTGTGAATATTACAGGGCGGGTTAGTGCTAAGATCAGATAGAGGCAGTGTTGATGAAAAAGGTGCAATAGGTGTTGGTGTTACAGGAAAAGTAAGCATTAGGGTTACATGGTGTGTTGGGGCTACAGGAAGAGATAGTGTGAGGTGGCCTTAGGTTAGTACAACACTCTCTCTACTCTTATCTCTGTGAGAGAACTACCAGCTCAGTGCTTAGCTCTCAAAGTTAACCTATCGATAGTTTATTGTTAGAAAATATTTCCATTGAAGCCTCCAAAACTAGTGGTCAACACAAGCTTCAGCTTACTTGTACTTGTGTTTTAAAGCCCAACTCTGGGCAACTAAAAAAATTAACCCTTGCAGTAGGGCCATGGCTGCACTGCAAGGGTTAATTGCTCAATTTCGTCTAGGGCAGGGGTTTCCAAACTTTCTAAACAAAGGGCCAGTTTACAGTCCTTTAGAGTTCACGGGGCCAAACTGTGGCCAGAGGGAGTGGAAAATGACCCAGTATCAGAGGGAGTAAATAACGTCTCAGGCTTGGTGTAAAAAAAAACAACACATTGCTCTGGTCAGTAAGATGAAGGATAGTTCCCCATCATTGGTGTCAGTGGGAGGAATAGTGCCACATTATTGGTATCAGTGAGAGAAATAGTGCTACATTGTTGGTATCAGTGGGAGGAATAGTGCCACATTATTGGTTTCAGTGGGAGAAATGGTGCCACATTGCTGGTACCAGTGGGAGAAATAATACCCCATCATTGATGTCAGTGGGAGGAATAGTGCACCAGCATTGGTGTCAGTGGGAGGAATTATACCCCATTGTTGGTGTCAGTAAAAGGAATGTCACCTTATTAATGGTATCAGTGGGAGTAACAGTGCCTCATACTAGTGGGAGTGCCCCAAGGGCCAGATAAGGTCAAGAAAAGCGCTGCATCTGGCCTGGGGGCCGCAGTTTGGAGACCACTGGTTTAGGGGAACAAAAAAAGATTTACTTACAAAATCCTCTATTCCTCCCTCAAGCTAGGCTAGTCCCTACAGCTTCTTTTCCCCCAGGTCCAGAGGTCTAGGATCCTGACATCATCAACAACAAAGCACAGTACATAGCCCTGCATTGGGGGTGATGGCGCTAAGGGACGGTTAACCACCAGAGCGAAAGTCAAACTGTTTCTCCTCTTCTCTAGACAAAAGAAGGTATTAATCCCTGCAGTATGGGAGCAGCCCCACTGAAAGGGATACATTTACATTTTCCCAGAGTTGGGTTTTAACTATACAATGAAAATTAATATTAGAAAATCATCAACTGTGAAAAAGCATATAGAACTGTCATAAGCATGTGTTCCAAGATGTGTAGCCAGGAGGTGGTGTGGAGGAGCTGAGGTGACTGTTGTACAAACAATCTGTCCTGTGTATGCAGGAGCCCCTATTTCAAGAGTTCGGGTCACAAAGGCCACCACTCTTCTATCGGCCATTTTTGGTTCAGTATTCTGTACACATCCAGCAGCTGGAACTGTCCTTGGTGCTGAAACTCATTGCAGAGACCTAAAGCCATCTAATATTTGGGATGATCATGTTATTAAATCTAATTCCGGGCACCAAGTGGAGTCAGTCAGAAGAGCGTTAATTGCCATTGCCAAGACAGGTGGCACTATAGACCAAGTTGTTTGCTTTTTTGGATAAAGTGGAGAAGGGTTAAAGCTTTTGTCAGGGTTTTATTTTTGTGCATCTGCCAGTGAGATTTTTTTACTTGCTTCCTATCCAAGAGACACATCCAGGTAGGGCCAGATCTAGCCTATCTTATGTGGGGGTGCAGTAAAAAAACATCAGGGGGGCAGAGGATGGTAGATCAGCAGGGCTGAGGACAGGGGTCACTGCTGGCAGGGCAGAAGACAGGAGCCACTGCTGGCTGGGCAGAGGACAGGGAAACAGCTCCTTCTCCCATCCCTGCACTGCGCACAGACCGGGTACAGATCCTCCTCCCATCCCTGCACTTGACACAGCCCGAGCACAGCTCCTTCTCCCATCCCTGCACTAGACACAGCCCGGGCACAGCTCCTTCTCCCATCGCTGCACTAGACACAGCCCGGGCACAGCTCCTTCTCCCATCCCTGCACTAGACACAGCCTGGGCACAGCTCCTTCTCCCATCCCTGCACTGCACACAGCCCGGGCACAGCTCCTTCTCCCATCCCTGCACTAGACACAGCCCGGGCACAGCTCCTTCTCCCATCCCTGCACTAGACACAGCCTGGGCACAGCTCCTTCTCCCATCCCTGCACTGCACACAGCCCGGGCACAGCTCCTTCTCCCATCCCTGCACTGCACACAGCCCGGGCACAGCTCCTTCTCCCAGCCCTGCACTGCACACAGCCCGGGTACAGCTCCTTCTCCCCTCCCTGCACTACACACAGCCCGGGCACAGCTCCATCTCCCATCCCTGCACTGCACACAGCCCGGGCACAGCTCCTTCTTCCATCCCTGCACTGCACACAACCCGGGCACAGCTCCTTCTCCCATCCCCCTGCACTGCACACAGCCCGGGCACAGCTCCTTCTCCCATCCCTGCACTGCACACAGCCCGGGCACAGCTGCTTCTCCCATCCCTGCACTGCACACAGCCCAGGCACAGTTCCTTCTCCCATCCCTGCACTGCACACAGCCCAGGCACAGCTCCTTCTCCACATCCCTGCACACAGCCTGGGCACAGGCAGCAGAGCGGTATAGTGTCAGTCAATAACAGTATAGTATCAGGCTAGGGCAGTATAGTGTCAAACTAGGGCGGTAAAGCAAAACAGGGTGGTATAGTGGCGGGTTATAGCAGTATAGTGGTAGGTTAGGGTTGGGTTTAGGGGGTACAACTAAAATCTGGGGGGGACATAGCCTTCCCCAGCACCCCATAGATCCAGCCATGCATCCAGGTATACAGGGTGCACCCTGACAGGAAGAGGGTTGACATTTTCAACAAAAGGGAACTCTAATAAGACATTCACAAAGCAACCATTCTCAACCCTACTAAAAATGTGTACTTATATAGCTTCTCAACACCTAACATAGCTTCTTGGCAAGACTGAAGCGTATGATTCCCTGAATGCTGGTGAGGGTATTTCTCGAAAACTAGGAACACAACATGGTGCAGGTTCATGGTCATTTAGGAGTAAGGATTCCAATGGCACTGGGAATTTAAATAGCAGGGTAGCCAACTGCAGAAGATATATAGCTCGGATGACAATGACAGACAATTAGCAGTCAGCCTGCATCTGCTCAGTCAGTGAAAACGGGATATGTCCTTGTTTGACTGGAGTGTACCTTTAATATAATTCCAGTCTCAACACAGCTTACTCGTGATCCACAATACACACACAGCTATAAAATGTGTTTATGTATATAGCACTGACATATGACGCCTGTCATATTTCAGACATCTGTGTACATTGCCCTTTTATTCTTCCAGTTGCCACACCTCCACAGCTATGGCATATTGAATGATAAGGGCTACTCAGGGTTAATTCTGTGCCTTCATTTCCATGTAGTTGGTTAGATAGAACACTCAGGGTGTTGCCATGGTAACATCTTAGTGCGAGCTAAAAAGAGCGTAGGAGACAAGGCTTAAGATGGGGAGAAAAACAAGGGGAACTGGCAAATATGGAGGGAGAAGAAATAGGCAAGGGGCTGACTGAAAGCGTCACAAGGTGGAGGCAACAAAGAAGACCCAGGGATGTATTGTGCAGTGGCAGGAATTACACGCAAACACGATAATGAATCATAGAGAATGGGACCAGGAGGCTTAGTAAAGTAATGGTTTAAAAATAAAAAAACACACGAAAAATACCCTTTTCAGTGGTAATAACAGGCATCACCTATGATTAGAAGTATGTGTGTTCCATTTAGCAACCAGTCAACATCTTCCTTTCTGTTTCTAAGACAAAATAGAAAATTAAAATTAAAAGCTAATAAATTAATATGAAAAATGGCATGTTGTCCTTTCTGCATACATGAGGAAAAATATCCATTTCATTTATTCAAAAACATAAATAATAAATCGTAGTAAACAGAATGTTTTGACAGAGTGAGACAGGAAAGGTAGAAGCTGTATCGGATTCTCCCAATGATGAAAGGGAACCTGTCACTTTGACTATTCATGGCAACTTCAAGCTTTTGTGTTTGATACTGTCATGGTTACTTAGAAGCTGGATGAAAGAGCAAATTATCGGCACATGTTCAGGCAGCTGACAAGACCTCAGGAGGTCTCTCATCTCTGTCTCTCTGCTCCAAACCTGAATAAAATAAAATTACGTTTTTTCTAAACTACCCTGTAAAAATGGAAGGCAGGGTCTTGTCAATATGGGCAGTATAGTTTTATTTGGTCCAGTTTTGGCTAAACAAGTGTGCAGAAAAATCTTGCCATTCTTATAATTTCATTTTTTATTACATTATCTATTCTAATTCCAGTCTCTTGATCTTGTTACAGGTCAGTTGTTTCTCAGCTGGATTACTGTGATTTTCTAGAAAACATTGAACATGCTTCGTTTCTTATGTGTGAGAATGAAAAGACTGCTGCCTTGGACCGAACTTTGTATTCTTCTTATGATTTTCAATGTATATTCCACATCATGTTTGGCATTCTGTCCTCCTCAGTGTGTTTGTGAGACAAGGCCTTGGTTCACACCTCAGTCAGTTTACCATGAAGCCAAGACAGTGGACTGCAATGACCTTCTGCTGACTCATATCCCAGAGAACCTCTCCATGGACACCCAGGTTTTGCTACTTCAAAGCAATAAGATCTCACATATGGGTTGGGAACTTCAGGATCTAGTCAATCTTACAGAACTGGACTTATCGCAAAACCACTTCCAAAGCATTGGAGATCTAAGCATTTCAAACCTGTCTCATCTGATCACTCTTTATCTGGAAGAGAACCAGCTTACAGAACTTCCAGACTATTGCCTAAAAGATCTGGAAAGCCTAGAAGAGTTGTATATTAACCACAATCAGATCAACTTTATTGGTCCCCGTGCCTTTGCTGGCTTAGGTAAGCTTCTGAGACTTCACCTAAATGCCAATCGACTACGTGTTATAGATTCAAGGTGGTTTGAAGATCTCCCGAATCTAGAGATACTTATGATTGGAGAAAATCCTGTGAGCACTCTTCAGAACTTTAATTTTCAGCCTCTCGGGAAATTGCATAGTCTCGTGTTAGCAGGGATGGAACTTGACCATGTTCCAGCAAATGCATTTTATGGACTGGACTATCTAGAAAGTCTCTCTTTTTTTGACAACCGGCTAGCTTCTGTTCCCAAGGCAGCACTAAAACCTCTCAAATTGCTAAAATTTCTGGACCTCAACAAAAATCCTATAAGCAGAGTTCAAGCAGGAGATTTCAGAGACATGCAAAATCTTGAAGAACTAAGCCTTAATTCAATGGAGGAGCTTGAACGTATTGAGAGTGAGGCCTTTCAGGATCTGCCTGGGCTAATTAAACTAGAAATCTGCAACAACCCCAGATTGACCTATCTAGATCCTAGTGCGTTTTTCTCTAACGTTGGCGCCTTGAAAACACTACTTCTCAGCAATAATCGACTAGCATTAATACCACTTAAAGTATTTCAAATGCTACCAGGATTAACTGAAATCAGTTTGTACAGTAATCCTCTCCGCTGTGACTGTCAAAACAATTGGAAAGGACTTTCCTCGTTGAGGCTGATTGAAGCCCAAGCAACACTTTGTACAAGCCCTCCCTTGGTGAGTGGACACCTTTTTCAGGAAATACAAGGCCAAGCATGGCTGAATAGATGTCCACCGTTAATAGATACACACTCTTTTCCTTCTCGGCTCCATCTTTCCAAGCACCAGCTAGTAACTCTAACTTGCCAGGCAAGTGGTCATCCAAAACCTGAAATCTACTGGATAACTCCACATGGAGAAAGAATATCAGGAGGAAATGGCAGAGTACGTATTCAGGGAGAAGGTTCTTTGGAAATACTGGATGCCACAGAGGAGGACTCTGGGTCATATATGTGCCAAATGTGGAACTCAGATGGAACAGACAGCAAAAGTGTGATTCTCTTCATCAATGGAACTCAGGAACAAGAAGTCACTTCCCTCTCCATCATTACCAAGAAAGTTCATTCAAGTTTTTGTTGTAGTGGAATGGAAAATGTTGGGTGGCCCTGTGAATGCTCCAAGTGTTCTAGTGCCTGTCCAGTGGACCTCAGCAACAATGAGGATACACAACCCACACATCAGTTACACAGCCAAGGTTCCTCTTGAAATCCAGGAGTATAATCTCACTCATCTGCAACCAGCCACCAAGTACGAGGTGTGCCTTACTGTTTCTTCTATTTCCCGTCCTAGTCAACAGTCTTGCCTCAATGTGACTACTAAGGATGCTTCATTTTCCATGGCAGCCATGGGTAGGCCAGTAAGTATTGCCCTCTCAGCAGCTCTTGGCTCTCTCATTGCTGGTTTGTGCATGGCAGCTGTCATTGTGTATGCCGGACATCACCTGCGCCATAAAAGCTGTGGACACTCTTTAAAAAAGTACATGCAGAGAGCTTCATTTATCCCTCTCAATGAATTTTACCCTCCACTTATCAGTCTTTGGGAAGGAGAAGTAGAGAGAGAAAAGGAAAGCAGCCTTGAGCAACCCGCTCTGGTGCCACCACAAGAGGATAAATCTTTCCCAACCATTGTTCAAATTGACACTTCAAAAACATACATGTGGCAGTCATAGACTCACATAGGACTGATGACATTAAATATTGACTTCGCTGCTTTCCATTCGTAGAGGGTGTTCCTGTCTTAGATCTTTTTGTACAAATGGTTATGAAGCAGTGGTGAACTTAGCACAAACCCACCCAAAACTGGCATTAGAGACAACTGGGGGGATTCTTGTCTTTTTTTGTTTTTAGGGGAAAAATCCACTGTTTTGCTCCATTACCAGCATCCAACAGTACAGTTTAAGTGTCTTATGTGGACTCTTTCTGTGAATAAGAAGGAAGTTTTGACTTAAGGAAACTGTCTTATGTGTATTGATTTAACAATGTGAAGAACTTCAGGCAAAAGTGAACAAAAAACTTATTTTTAAACTATGTTGTGTGGAATTGACTGTAATCCTTTTTTAGATTAAAGGAATATGAGACTTTAACCCTAAAGGCCAAATATACGTTTTTTTTTAAATTGCTCACCTGTAAGATTTTGGTTATTTGAAGAGGTCCTCTGCTGTGGTCTTCTTGAATAAAGGGGTGCAAGGTGTAAACATAAATTGCTGTAATAAAGTAGCCAAACTGATCTTTTTTTATTTAGGTTAGTTCACTGAAATCCAGGCCAAGTAAATATTATAATTTGGAGATAAAGATGAACTGAACTCTAGAAGCTGTGCCTAAATAATGTCAGGCACAGGGGAAAAGAATAATCAACAGTATTGCCTGATGTCTCACTGCAGCTGATCCTTTCATCATCTCTGACCTACAATGCCTTGTTCTGCATTGTCTTTCTGTGTGTAGGCAGTCATCTTGGTAGGTTCACATCTGTGAGGGAGTACATGAAAATCACACTCGATCCCGTACTTGCATGTAGCCACATACAAAAAGTGCTGCTTAAAGAAAATGCGTGGGATGCCATTAACTCTTTATGACACCCCTGCACACTGGAAACATGGTGTGATTTCACGCACACGGAAATGCATGGTGCCAAAGTACCATGTGGTTTCCATGTGGCCGTGCTTTGAAAAAGGTGCACGTACCTTTTTTCCTACAGGAAACGCAAGTAAAGCAGCCCATTCGAATGAATGGGCTGCTGTGCCCGCACAAATGTGGCACACAGAACCACATAGATGTGGACCTAGCCACAGATCCTATATTGTACATATACAGCTAGAAGGCCATAGGTAGAGGAGTGCCTAGGCACACTAACATACCAGGAAGTGCACTGCTAAGGTACATTTTGAGGGTGTTGCTAGTTAGTCACAATTACCATTTCTAGATGTTTCCTATAACATAGCAAATCTTCACTTTTTGAGCTTAGGTCCTCTTCAAAGGATTATAACAATAAAAGTTACAGACAGTCTCAAAGAAAAAAAAAAAAATAAAAGCAAAAAAAAAAGCCCAAAAGTGCAGGACCCACAACATCCAGAGTACATTTTGTTCTTGTTTGAGTGCAAGCTATTAAATTGAGCAACAGCAGCCAATTTTCCTTCCAAGAGTGAATAAAATCCATACTGACCATATTTATGGCTGAATTCACTAGGATGGATGAGTTTCAACTTGACTCCTTATTTTATCTCATAATTTTCACTATAAAATATTCAGAGTATAATTATCTATTTGCAGCGTGCTTGTTATTTTTCTGCAAGAAAAAAGCATTGAACCGCTAAAAGCCTTATTTTTCATACATATTTTATGTCAAGGGTACAGTATATTTAAAAAGAAGTGATCAACATTCACCAAACATTCATAGCAGGTCAATTTTCCTGGTGCATGGTTTTTAAATGACAGTGACTGATCTGCCATCAGTGAGTGTTGGGTGATTTGAGGCATTTTCAGAAGTATTGTGGTCTCTGCAAGAGGTAATAAGTATCTTTGTTACACTTAAGCTGCCCATAGATGGATTGAAATTTGGACAGTGAAGCAGAGACCTGTCGAAATTCGATCCATGTATGGTTGTTCCTGCTCGATAGAAATCAATCTAATGACCAAGAATGTTGGAAAACATTTGTCGATCAGCAGCTGCAGTCAGTCATCTGCAGCTGCTGATCATTTTATTCTGACAGCAAAGGAGTCGCACTGTCAGAATATGATCTCCCAGCGGGAGGAGGACTCCTCTATCCACCTCAAATGTGTGGATGAGGAAATCAGTTTTGTTTTTTGATTAGTCCACTGGCAGAGCAAAAAAAGATATGCCCATCACTTACACATTAATTATTATACTGTATATGCATTTAGCATGAAAAAAAAATATATCTGATGCAAGGGCCTCTTCATAGTAACTCATTCATCCTAGTAAATTGAGCCTAAAGGCAATTGTTTCAATGTCTTCACTCAAAACATTCCTAATTATTTTTTCATATTATTATTTAAAATATTTTTTTTTCATATAAAAAATGTAAGTGTAGAGCCAGTCATACATGGAGCGAAATTTGGCTGGTTCCCCATGAACTAGTCAAACTTTGATTCATGTATGGGGAGAGAGGTTGTACAGAAGTTGATCTACTGATTGACTTCTGCACAACCGCCCTGTTGGATTTTGCCAGCTCGATCAGCGCCGCAGGCCTGCAATGCTGATCTGTGTAATTTGGTGGTGGGGACGTCTCTCAACTGTCTGAATACAATAACTCAGTGGGTGGAATTCCCCCATCCATATTGAGTGTGTTGATGGGGGGATTGAATCAGTTTTTTTTTCTTCGTTTAACCTGCTGGTTGAATTAAAAAAAAAAATTACTAATCTATGGGCTGCCTAAAACTTGTATTTCTTACCTCTCACTGTATCACAATACACACCTAACAATACTTTCATCTGCTTTTCCTTTTAGAAGGATGAAATCATCTTTGGTCAGGCATCATCCAGGGTCAGCATCTACTTCCTTGGCTGAGATGTTTTCTCACACATTACCAAGTCATGTAAATCCTTGTGTTTATGCAGTTCTGGGATGTGTTTACAAATGGCTGACACAGACCAACCCCTGCTTTAGCCACTCAACTTCTGGCTTGCTATTAAGTTACAAAGTGCAAGTCTGAGTGATCACTGGAGGAGAGGCTGATGACATCTTATCCTAGACAAAGTCACCTTTCTGGAGATCAAAACCTGCTTTTTAGTGATAAAATGTGCAGCTTTTATTTTTTATATGAGTGTTTGTGAACATTGTGATTGTGACAGTGTACATGTATTTTTCTTTTCACAGAACCTAGTTTTTCAATTTGTCATCAAGACCTCCCTTTACTTTTGTTGAGATAGATGTACAGATAAGAGTTGACCAATTTCACTGGACAGGTAGTCATTTGCACACTTTTCAGTTCCTGCCACCCTCAAACCACCTTCATTTTCAATATCTTGCGATAATCTCCCATCATTTTATTACATATTTTCATGTGTATATATTATTTAAAACTCTTTTATGCAATCCAGTTAAAAGAAAAGTTCTGAAATATAAAAAAACAAACATTCTTACTCACCTAGATGGATGCAGCATCAGTCCCGTCGCCTCTGAGGCTCCGTTCACACTAATGCGTTTTTTTTAGTGCTTTTTGCAGAAATGCACTACAGTCTATTTAACATGGTTTCCTATGGAATATGTTCACATCTAAGCTTTTTTATGCTGCTGCGTTTTTGTGAAGGGTCAAGGAGTTTTTTCAAAGCAAAAAGCAGCGTTTTTGCTACAATACAGTTCAATGGAGAACCTGCTGAAATGCATGGTAGTGCATTTTTGTTGAAATTTGCATTTTGTATTTTTATGCTGCCCAGCAACCAAAACAAAAACCACTTTAACAAAAAAGAAAAAAAAATAGCTGAACAAAACACAAAATACAGTAAAAACGCACTACCATGCATTTCAGCAGCTTTTTGCTTTTAAAAAAAACTCCCTAAACGTGTGTAGAAAAATGTAAAACAAACTGCAAAAAGCACTGGAAAAAGCATCAAATGCAAAATGTATATGTGAACCAAGCCTGAGACAGAAAACTGAGCGATCAAACACCACTGATCACTCAGTTTCCGGTCTTCACTGCCCTCTAGTGCTGAATGGAGTGCCAGGCTGTGGAGGGGTTGGGAGCGGCTGGCTCAGGCTCTCAGCGGATTGCTGAGATGCTGAGCTAGCTGCTGGTCCAGGCATCTGAGCGGATCCCGACTTTACAACCTGGCTCGATCCAGAGCCTGGACTGGTTGCGTGATGTCAGTCGACAGCCAACTTTATCCTGCTGTCAGCTGAAAAAGAATCACAGGAGTGAAGAAAAAAAAGTGCACTCCTGTGACCCACAGAAGAAGTAGTACCAGAAGAGCCTTGGCCCAACTTCTTCTTTAATAGAAATGCGTTCATTTTGGGTCATGGCCCTTTAACACTTTAAGTTTCTCTATGAGAGAAGCATTGGGTTGCTGATGTCTCCGTCTGAAATTGCTAGCTGCTTGGCAGTCAAGTCAACCACTTGTTTCAGTTTTTTGAGCCATCGGCCCAGGATTAATTTCTTTGACCTTTCTGAACTTCATACCTGTTCCAAACAAGTTACTTAGAAATGATTAAAGCAAGCATATCACCAAATAATCCAGACAACTAGCATTTT